GAGAAAGGAGCTTGGGGGGGGGGGGGAGAAAGAGTGCAATGAGAGTTAGAGGGGGTGCAGAAGGCACAGAAAGAGACATGATTAGGGCAGAGCAGGAGAAGGGTTTGGGGGGGAGGGGAGAAAAGTGCAATGGGGTAAGATAGGACAGAGCAGGGTTGGGGGATGAAGCCTGGAGTGGAGCAGGGGGTTGTCCAGGGCCCTGCATCCCCCAGGCGATAGTCCTGCCCACAAGTGACGCAAGCAGCAGCTAGATAAGCAATACTAGTGCACACCACACATTGAACCAATCACACTTGTGACTTATGCACCATTAATTTCATCAGGATCACGACCCAAGAGGAATCTGACCCCTCCAATTCAATGCAAACAAAAAGTGAGAGCACACCAACACTCACCTATACTTGCTCTATTTCCCCTTTCCTATTCGCTTGTAAATACACGCACAGAAGTGCTGTCTAGACCTTCAGTCCTTTAGGCACCTGTTTCTGAGCAGTAACATTCCAGTAGAAGAGGATAGTCAGGCATTTCTCAAAAATGGGTTGCTAGACTCTTGTAGTGGGGGGTCACAAGAGCAGTGACAGGCTAGCAGCAGTAAGGATAGCATGGTATGCCTTGGGGGGAGAGGGAGAGAGGGTGTTGTCTCAGTAACATTTTCAAACCAGTGCTGAGCAAGGGGAAAAAAAGCGTGAGAACCCACCTGTCTCAGTGTGAATGCCTGGTCTTTTGTAGCTACATTGTATTTATGTAGCTCAATGATCTTGCTCAGGACAGATACCCAAACCATAAACAAAAGAGCTTGAATTTCAAGGGGGGAAATTGCTAACTGAAGAGCTAGGAGGAAAGATGGTCTTGGGGTTAAGGCAATCGAGTGTGTCTCTGGAAATCTAGTTTCAGTATCCAGCTCTACAACAAATGTTCTGAGAGCCCCTGGGTACATCTAATCTTTATGTGGCTCAGTTTCCTGTCTGTCCTGTCTAATTAACTCTTCAGGACATAGCCTTTTACTCTGTATGGCACCCTTTTTCCGGAAATGCTTAAAACGGAACAGTTTTCCGTTATAAGTATTTCTGGAAAAAGCGCGTCTACATTAGTAGGCTGCTTTTCCGGAAAAGCCCTTTTTCCGGAAAAGCGTCCGTGGCCAATGTAGACGCGCTTTTCCGGGAAAAAGCCCCGATCATCATTTTCGCAATTGGGGCTTTTTTGCGGAAAAGACTACTGTGCTGTCTACACTGGCTCTTTTCCGGAATAGTTTTTCTGGAAAAGGACTTTTGCCCGAACGGGAGCAGCATAGTTTTTCTGGAAAAACACTGACAATTTTACAGTAGATGGTCATTGCTTTTCCGGAAAAGCAAGCGGCCAGTGTAGACAGCTGGCAAGTTATTCCAGAAAAGCGGCTGCTTTTCCGGAATAAGTGGCCCAATGTAGACACAGCCTATTTGTCTAGGATGCAGCTCAACAGAGTCATGATGTTGGCTGGAGTTGGTAGGTGCTAAACTATAATTCAGATAAATAATGTCTCACATTCTCACTATTCAGCTGATGTGTTTTGAAACCAATGGAAACACCCCACAGGTGCAGAAGACAGTCTGTAGTCCTCCACTTCATTTTCCCACAGTGATATAGTGATTTTCCTTCTGATGTAGAATGTCTTAAACTTGGTGGGAGCACAGTATCTGTACCATGAGTGATTCATTTTGTTTAGATTCTGATAAATCTTCCTTTTGGATACAGTCGTGCTGCACATTTTGGAATTCCTAGCCCAATTTGTGTTAATTCTTTTTACTTTTAAAATCAATAAAGTTCAGAGACACTGCCTTCTATTAAACTACTGGGCAGAAGCCACAAAGAAAAATTCAGTTCCTTATGCAAATATATATTGCTTTCATGTATCTTTTAAACATATTCCATGTGTTACTGTGAACTGAAACATTAATGAGAGCTATACATTTCCACAACTTCATTTTCAACCATAGTTATTTCAAGCCAGATTTCTTCAAATGCATGCAAAGCACTTGTTCCCATCAATGACAAAGACAATAGAAAGCTTGAAGTTTAAAACTAACCTATATGAGTTACCCAAGAAGTCACTGAGTATACTTTTCCAAAGTTTCCTGATAATTTTTAATGTGTAATGCAGGCATTTAGGAGCCCCAGACATTCTCATTTTTTGGGAAAAAAAAAAAAGTGGCCTGAATGCTTAAGAAAATAACTCATCTATCTGACCCCATCATGTACAACTAGATAAAACAAACAAACAAACAACAAAACACAGTTTCCCTGTAAAAATAAGCTCTCTTCAAATTCTACTGATTCTTGCTCTATCGTACTGTATAGTACAGAATCATTTAAAAACTATGTTTGCCAATGAGGTAAAAAAGGGTGTTGAATGCTCGGGATTTCAGCATGCCTACCAACACCAAAGAGGGGAAAAAAGGTGAATTTGAAATTGATTTAATTCTTTAGGGATAATGGCTACATTGTGTTTCCTGCCAAATTCCTTTGTTATGTATGGGAAGAAATGTTTATTATGATGGCGCTAGCTCAATTTCTTTTCTATTTTTCCCCACTTTCTTTTAAAGGGGAAGAGAGGACTTCCATAACGAATCTTATTTCTTTGAGAATATATCTTGTTGGTATTTCTCCTCTCTCCCTCCTCCTCACAAACTTTTGCTAGATTCTTTATTTTTCCATATTGTAAAGCACTTAGCACAAGGATCAGAAGTCATATAAGATGATCCCTTAAAATGCAATCCTGAATTTTCAATGTTGCAGTACAAAACTAAGACTGAGGCCTCACTGATACCCACCAGAAATAGCTCAGGTAATACATCTTGAAGATCTGAACCACTTTTCTAAGCTTCAACACATTCCTTCAAGTTTTTGAGTCAGAGTCCACATACAGCTTAGCACAAGGATCAGAAGTCATATAAGATGATCCCTTAAAATGCAATCCTGAATTTTCAATGTTGCAGTACAAAACTAAGACTGAGGCCTCACTGATACCCACCAGAAATAGCTCAGGTAATACATCTTGAAGATCTGAACCACTTTTCTAAGCTTCAACACATTCCTTCAAGTTTTTGAGTCAGAGTCCACATACAGGTGAAAGGCAACACACACACACACACACACACACACACACACACACACACACACACACACACACACACACAAAAAAAACACATAAAAAAAAAAAAACAGGGGGA